CGCGTCTTGTCTTGAAGAGATTATCACAAAGTAATCTCTTTTGTCGTAGCGTTGCAAAGATCATTGTCTTGTAATCTTCATCTTGGCTCCTTGAGAATATGAGAGTCGTCAGATTGTAACTCCCGATGTTGATTATGAATGCTGTTGAACTAGAGCTCTCATCGGTTGTCGTGAAGGTCGTCAGTTTGTAAACTTCAGCGATCTACGTGAAAGTCTTCAAATTGTAGCCTTCTGGAAGTCGTCAGATTGTAACTTCCATCATCGGTGTTTTGATGGGGATCAGCTATCTATTGTGATTTTTAGACAGCCTACACCCCCATTCTGTTGCGGTGTCTCTTGAAATGTGAAGTGTCGTTTAATGCCGTGATCCCAGCAAAACTACAGAAATGGATCACTCTTGTACACTCCACCGTTATTTGAACAAAGAGTCTTTATATTTCTACCTGTCTACAGCTCTACTTTCTTCTTCCACTCCACAAAAATATCAAGGACCTCATGTTTATGCTTCGTTGTATATACCCAATTTCTCCTGGACTAGTCATCAATGAAAGTGATAAAATAGTTGGCCACACCAAGTGATGTGTGTTTGGAAGGGCCCCAAACATTTGTGTGAATATAATCTAATATATCTTGGGTGTTGTGAATAGCGGTGCCGAACTTCACTCTAGTCTTCATCCCAAGTACACAATGCTCATACAACTCCATCTTGGAGGTTTTCGCACCTTTCAATAGCCCATGTTTTGCTAATGTCTATAGGGACTTATCACCGGTGTATCCTAAACGCATGTGTCATAGGCAGGTAGTGTCCTCCTCTGTAGTGATAGAAGCTACCAAACCCCCTGTAACTGTCTTGTCCTTCAAGTAGTATATGTTGTTTTTCCTGACACCTCGCATCACCATCATAGAACCCTTCATGACCTTCACAGTAGCATCCTCTAAGGTCACCCGATAACCTGTTGCCTCTAAAGTACCAAGAGAAATGATATTCTTCGTCGACTACGGCACGAACCTCACTTCTTTCAACTCCCTAACCACTCCGTCATGCATCCTGATCCGGACTGAAGCAATACCACTAATAAGGCATATGTGATCATTTCCCATAAGCACGACTGTAGGACCTAAAATAGATACACTTGAACACTAGAGGGGGGGGTGAATAGTGTTCTTTTAAAATTAATGCAAAGTATATTATAAATTGCAAAGAAAAATGGCAATCTCAGAAATTCACAATCACAAACACAAGGATTTTATACTGGTTCCACCAATCCGGTGTACATCCAGTCCCCAAGCAAATCCCGTTTGAGAGTTTTCACTATGATTTTGAATAAACTTACAAAATCAAACGCAAACCTGACCAATTTGCAAGTCCCTGCAAATTGCAACACCAATTGACAAACACCTTGTCAATTTGAACACCAATCTCTAAACCAAGAGATTAACCTTCTCACACCCGAGAGAAAACCTTGTTGAAGCAAGAACACAATTGATCCTATAAGCCTTGAATGTGTAGTGAAGTACAGCAGTGGCTTAGGATTCTTTTAACCTCTGTAAATTACCTAAATGATAAGTATTTGATCAATGTTTAGAGGCAATTTCAGAAACTTCTATTTTTCACAAAATCTGAATATTTTTGACTTGAAAAATTGCTCAAAGATCAAAGCTTATGGGTATGTAAGTCTCTGCAATTTTTCTGAACAAATAACCTATTTATAGCCCTTGAAAAAACAATTTTTAAACTTTAAAAACGTTTAAAAACAGCTATAAACTGTCAGATATTCAAACTTTGAAAACTAGAAAAACTGTATCTGTAGTCGACTACTGTTGACATTAGTCGACTACACTGAGTTCAAACAGACTCTGTTTTTGGAAAATTTTCTCAGTAGTCGACTACACTGTATTTTGACAGAAACTGATAAAATGAAATTTGAGTTCAGTAGTCGACTATAATGATGATTAGTCGACTATACTGTAAATTGACAGAAACATGTATTTGAGTTTTATACATGAGTAGTCGACTACTATTCTAATTAGTCGACTACTAAGATCAAAAAATCTGATGTAAGGATTTTTATAATCAAGTTTTAACTAAAATTCTAATGGTTAACATAGGGGATTTCTATAGTTAACCAACACACTAAGCCTGTGTTAGTATGTTCTAAAATTATGTGTGTGCGTGTGTGTGATCAAAGCTTGTATAATTATTCTAAGTAAAGAAAATGTAAAATACATTATCTCTTTTGTTCTTCATTTTCTTCACTTCAAAATGCCTTGAAATCAACTTGCACTTGTACATATTCTGATATTGAAATCTGCATATAAAAGTTAGTGCACACACTGTATAAATTGTTATCATCAAAACACTATCATGGAGATATGATATTCAACAACGACATCCTCTCTTTCTAGCTCCTCGAAGCTATAGAACCAATCCCTCCTAGGGAAAATATGATATGTAGCTCCCGAATCCAACATCCACTCCGTAGAGTCGGCATAGAAAACAGATGATAGTGCAGAGCATGAATAGCCTGAAGAATCTGAATCTGAATGTTCGTCAACATCTTTTGCAACATTCACTTATGAAGCTTGTACAGTTTTCCCGTTGTTCTTCCCGGCTTTGTCCTTTAACTTTAGACAGTCGATCTTCCAATGTCCCTATTCTTTACAAAAACGACATTGATTTCTATTTTTTTCAACACTCTTATAGCCACCTCTATTCTTTGATTTTAAGCGGTTGACTTAGCGGTGATTTGGACTACGACCTCGAACTGTTAATGCATCTCCCGATGCCTTCTCGGAGGGTTCGCCATCACTCTTCCATAACTCATAGTTCACCAATGCTGAGGTCACCTTATTGTAGGTAACAATAGTTCTTTCATTGATCATAGTGAGAACGAACGTACCATAATCATCCTCCGGCAATGAACACAAAAGTAGCATCGCCTTGTCTTCATCCTCAACCATGATGTATATATTGGTCAAATCTGAAAGTAACTTCGTGAAGTTATTTACATGTTCTCTAATGGAAAATCCCCTCTTTATCTTGAACTGGTAAAACCTCTTCTTTAAGTGAAGCCGATTCTCAATGCTCTTCGTAAGATACTTTTCATTGAGCGTTTCTCATAATTTCTTCGCTGACGTCTCGTTCATCACATCATAAATAAGGTCCGGCATCAAGCATGACCGAATAACTCCACAAGCCGTACTGTTCATCTTCTTCTAAACCTTATCCTCTATGTCTTCAGGTTTCTCTTGTAACTCAAGAGTCTCCTCCAAAATTTGTGCATCCAACGCAGCCATTACCTGGCACCTCCACAAACCAAAATTGATCTTTCCATCGAACTTCAGCACATCAATCTTTGTATTATTGATGCTCAAACTCTATATCACCTTCGTAAGATATGACCCCGATGTGCTTGCTTCTCTCATATTGTAGATCTAACTCTCGAAGTAAGAATCCTTCAGCGAATCCTTCGAACAAGCCCCAAGCCAAACCCAAAGCTCTGATACCACTTGTTGTGCGCAGCGGAGGTCGATAACTAAATAGTGCATGACAAGACAATGAGAAAGATCTTAATCAAACACAAGCACAAATCACAGCAAGACAACGAATTTACGTGGTTCGGCAAGTTGCCTATGTCCACGGGGCAAGGAGGGGAGAGTTCTTACTATTAGAGATGAAGAGAAATACAAATAGGGTTACAAATCTCACCAAAACCCTCAAACAAAGCTCTCTAGATCTCTCACAAATCCTCTCACAAAGGTTGCAATAAACTCTCTCAAAGGCTGTTCAAAATCTTCCTTGCATAACCCTAAAAAACGTGTTTAGGGTTATATATCAACTCACAATAAAACGGATCAGAAAATAGAATCAGGCCCAAACCCGCTACGCGGTCGACCGCTGAACCCATATTGCGGTTGACCACCAAAAGTCCAAAGACCAACCCTGTCGTGTGCACGTTCGTGGTCGACCGTGAAGCTTCCAAAATGCCTCCTGCTTGTTTTATCCTGAACTTCATCACCATTTCTACATCTATGTTATCCTAATCATCAACATTTTAGGGCACTTCCTTGACTCTACTTATTTACTTTATTTAGAATTACTTTAGTATCAATATACTTACACAATTATCCCTTATAATTTTTGCCAATTAAGTCATAAATTGGCATATGAACCGCGATATTGTAAATGATAGGATTCAAACACTGCAGAAATTTAGATCAGCAAAATCCAATTACAAATATATTTACTAACAACGATAATGCAAATTCATTAAAAGCAATAGCCAGAAAATTTAGAAGCATGAAAGAACAAGCTGTATTTATACGATAAAAATAACTTATATTAAATAACTATATAACTCATCATGAAACTTTTATTCTTTTTGTTGCCCTTGTATTTTTACTAAAATAACATGGCATAAATAACATATAATAGGAAGAATATTAGACATTAAATAAATATAGTGAAGAGATCATAGAATTAGAAAGGACAGATATATTGATTAGCAATGAAATACTAGACATAGGAAATGCTTCCTTAGAAAGAGTACAGTAATACAAAAGAGTACAATACCATGATAAATAATGATGAAAAGCTAGGGGGTGCTATGCTTATTGATGCAGATACAAAAGACTTCAACTCTTTTATTGAAGATTGTCAACTATCTCACCTCAAAACTTTGGGGAATTTTTTCACCTGGAACAATAAACAAGAGCATGACACAAGAGTCTGGTGCAGATTGGATAGAGGACTAGTAAACGACACATGGATTCGAAAATATAGTTCAAGTCATGTAGAGTTCCTGCTCCCAAGCTTTTCAGACCATTCTCCTGCAGTGATATCAATTTATGAAGAGGAAAAACAAGGAAAAAAATCATTTAAGTTCTTCAATATGTGGATTAATCATAGCAATTTTCTGCCCACAGTTTCTACCACATGGCAAGATTAAGTTGAAGGCTATAGAATGTTCTCAGTACTTACTATACTCAAATGTTTGAAGGGTGCTTTGAAAGAACCTAACAGGAAGCATTATGGAAATATAAGTGAGCAGGTGCAAAGGGCTAAATATGCTTTAGAGGAATTTCAAAAAAGACTCCAAGTAGATCCTCTTAATCCTTCTTTCATCAGGCAAGAAAAAGAGAGTTTAACTACCTATAATAAACTCTTACAATGTGAAATGTCTTTCTACTAACAAAAAGCCGAAATCTAATGGAGTATCAAAGGGGACAGATGCACAAACTAGTTTCATTCCATTATTAAAGCTAACAGACATCTGAATAGAGTGCTAGTTTTAAAAACAGCATGGGTGAAAGAATAACAGATAGAGAGATGATTGTAAATGAATTTATCTCTTACTACAAGAACCTTATGGGCACTGCTGTATCAACTTCTAATCCTAGCATAAGGATTATTCAAAATGACCCCTGCTTGAATAAAAACCAATGCAGAAGCCTATCAGTACCAGTTTCAAAAGACAAAATCAAGCATGTTGTCTTCTCTATGCCTGATAACAAATCTCCAGGTCCTGATGGATATGGAGCTGCTTTTTTCAAATCTGTTTGGTCTGTTGTTGGTGAGGAGGTTACACTTGCAATAGAGATTTTTTTCAAAACATGGAAGCTGCTGGGAGCAATAAATTCAACATCTATCACCCTTATCCCTAAGGTACACTATCCAAATATTCCTCTAATTTCAGGCCAATCTCCTGTTACAATTGCCTATATAAAGTGATATCAAAAATTCTTGCAAACAGATTACAATCAGTTATGGGGTGTCTTATTAGTGAAGTTCAAAGTGCTTTTGTAAAGAGTAGACATATTGCAAATAATATCCTTCTAGCACATGAATTAGTCAAAAACTATGGCAGAAAACATATTTTCACTAGAGTTATGATAAACATTGATATTAAAAAGGCCTTTGATACCATTAGTTGGAATTTCATTGAGGAAATGTTAAAAGGCTTGTGCTTCCCTAGTTTTCTGTCTAGTAGGATCATGACTTGTATATCTAGTCCAAAGTACTCCATCTCCCTCAATGACTCCATTCATGGCTACTTCAAAGGAGAAAGAGGATTAAGGCAAGGGGATTCTCTCTCTCCCTATTTGTTCATCTTAGGGATGTAATATCTTTCCAGAAGCCTTGACCTTCTGAAACAAGACAGAAGCTTCAAATTTCATCCAAAATGTGGAAGGCTTAATATCACTCATTTAATCTTCGCTGATGATCTCTTGTTATTTTGCAAAGGGGGTCTTAGTTCAATTCAGAAACTCTACCAATGTGTTACTAGTTTCAGTGAAGTGTCTGCGCTTAAAGCAAATCCAAACAAATGTGCCATTTTTTATGAAGGAGTGACTGAGCCTGTCAAGGACAATATCAAGGAGTTTCTGGGTTTTACTGAGGGGAGTATGCCTATCAGATACTTGGGGATCCCCTTAGTTTGCAAAAGGCTCACTTACTAGGATTGCAGCCCCCTCTTTCATAGAATCACCACACAATTTCAGAATTGCTTGAAGCAAAGGAACCTGTCATATGCTGACCGAATACAGATAATTAAGAGTGTCATCCTTGCATTCAAATTTTTTGGACTTCCAGCTATATATTGCCAGTTAAAGTGCTTCAAAAGGTAGATGAACTCTGCAGGAAATTCCTCTGGGGCAAAAATGATCAAGTCTTCAAGACTCCCTTGGTATCATGGGAAAAAACATGCACGGGGAAAATATATGGTGGTCTGGGGATTTTCTCTTCAATCTTATAGAATTATGCAGGTGCATTGAAACAATTTGGGATATTCATTCAAACAAGTAATGCCTATGGATCAAATGGATCCATGGCACATATCTGAAACACATGAACATATGGCAAGTGGAAACAAAAGTGAGGGACTCTTTGATGTGGAAGCAATTATTGAAAATCAGAAACAAAGCTTTGAATCATTGTGGAGGAGTTGAAAACTTAGTGAAATTAATCAGGTCATGTAGCAAAAGTTCTAAAATTAAGCTCTCGAGCCTGTATCATGCCTTATCCTCTGCCACTGTCACAGTACCATGGTGCACCACTATCTAGGGAGGATTAAACTACCCTAAGCATTATGTCATTGTTTGGCTTGCTGTTTAAGACATGCTTTTAACACAAGATAAACTGATCAGTAGAGGAATTATCCAAGCAAACAAATATGTTTTATGCTCAGAATCAGATGCTGAAAGTAGAAATCACCTTTTCTTTGAATGCAATTACTCGAAAGAAATCTGAAACAGAATTATGGACTGACTACACTTTAAATAGAGAAGTTTTGATTGGAACCAGTTAATAAACTGGTACGGTTCCAATTTGAGGGGGAAGGGATTCAAGCAAAGAATAAAAAGAATGACATTTTCCACTTCAATATACAACATTTGGTTGGAAAGGAATGGAAGGATCTTCACTCTGAAATCCAGAATGATAGAGCAGCTAGTTAAAATCATTAAGGTGGATTTGTTGACAATCATCCTCAACAGTGATATACCTGCAGAGATTAAGGAATATTGAATAATTTCTTTATAAATTTTAGTGGTTCCTTAAGGCTCTATTCTTCAGGTTTTAGTTAGTCAGGGGTTTTTTCTCTCTCTTTTGCTGTGTTTCTTTCTTTTATTTTCTTTCAACAGCTTGTAGCATACTCAGTATAAGAGTTCTTGATGTTAGAAATGTCATTCCCATTTAATATGAGAATTTTTATTCCAAATGACTTCTTAAGGAATAGCTATTCCCACTTAAGTGAGAATAAAGATAATAAAATAAATTTAATATATACCCTTCTTAAAGATATTCTCACTTAATTCTCTAATTTCACCCAAATATAAGAATGAGAATGAGCATTCCATTCCCGCATAAATTTTATTCCATTCCTACATTCATTCCATTCTCACTTGACTTTATTCTCACGTATCAAACAATGCGTTAAGGTAATAAATGTAAATTCGGCGTCTAAGGGGGTGTTTGGTTGCACAATTTTATAGAAAAGTTTTCTCAAAATATCTAACAATGGTAATTCTGTAATTAAAAATTTTCTGTAGATTTCCATAAACTGTGTTTGGTTTAAAAAAAATTTACAGAAATACTTTCTGTAAAGTACAGAAACGTACCAAAATTTACAGAAATTAATTTCCTCTCAAAATGGGCGGAAATCACCCAGAAATCTGACACCACATTAACATTTTTCTATAAAGTTGGCACTTTTCTATAAATTTAATGGGTGTTTGGTTCAATTTCTACAAATAATAGGAAATCTTGCTATTTTCTATAAAGTTATGGGTCATTTTCTTGTTTTGAACCAAACAAGCAAAGTACAAAAAATAAGAAAATTGATACTTTTTTACTTCTCAAAACTTTTCCTATAACTTTTTTAAAAAATACAAGGAAATTATATTTTGAATGGAAAATATTTTCTATAATTTGTAGAAATTGAACCAAACACCCCCTAAGATTCTAAATGCGTTTTCTTATCGTCTGCCACGTTTCACTCGTTAAGGTAATAAATGTAAATTCGGCGTCTAAGATTCTAAATGCGTTTTCTTATCGTCTGCCACGTTTCACTCGTAAACAACTTCGCATGGGGGTATTTGTGTAATTTCTCTCATGCATTGCTCCTATCGCCCACTTTATAAAACTCTATTTTTTTTCTTCCCAAAAATAGAAAAAAAAGAGAAGAAGAAGAAGTTGGTAGGATTCATCGCGAGGGAGCGCAAAGAGCGAGATGGAAGCCCCATTGTGCTGCAATGAAACCCATCATAGGTCTCACTTTGCTCCCTCTTTTAAAGATTTAAATTTTCTTTTGCATGCTAATCAAATAGGGACATCACAATCCTTTATACCAAATGTTGCGGTCAGCTACAAGAAATGTTCTTCCGTTAGGCTTAGTTACTCTTGTCCTTAGATTGTTAAAAGGGGTTAATTTTTGTTATGTTCAGTTAATTTTTTAAACTCATCTGAAGAATCACTAAAATTTCTATTTTGGGAGAGAAGTTTATGTTTCGACCTATTAAGAGGCCTCAAAATTAATTCTTTTATGGTATTGGAGGTTGTGAGAGGGGAAAATGAGAGGAGCTTGATTGGGATATTAACCTAACAAAATCAATCTCTATTGATCTATGCTCTCAGTTTTTCTATGCTATTATAAAATCATGACGTAATACCGTGCTTATTTCTTTCCGGCCACAAAATAACTATTTGAAGTAACAATCTAGATCTTATTGAAATCATGAATTTCCACTTACAATTTAATACAATATTTGTTAAATAATAATATTACGGGCTCAGCGTCAAAAATATATTGATGTCTATTTCGGTTGCGACCGTTGTTATGGGTATGGGTCTTGAGAGTTTTAGCGATCTCAGCAATTTAAGATTAGAATTATTTGCAGTTCATGGCATAAGTTAGATCTTAATCTTTTTACCAATTTATTCTTTTTTATTTCACCCCAAATATAACACTATAAATCAAATTTTCTATTCAAAACCTCAAATCTTCTTTCTATTCTGGTCTATTTTTGGAAAATTTCAGCGTGCAATATAGCGTGCAAAATTTCAGCGTGCAATTTATGTTACTTTGATTGACCCGAAAAACCTCCTTTAATACTGTTACTATTCTGGTCTATTTTGGTGGTTCCATTGCAAGCACAAGGGACTTCTACTTCGCTCTTCTGCCCTTCTCTCATGGTGAATCCTACTTGTATTTATTGTGCTTTCTATCCTGGGAATGATTACTCTCCGTGAATGGTATGTAGCTAAAAATAATTACTGATGTAAGATGTTAATAGATTCTCCATTTTTCTTTCTTTCGTTGGTGTGATAATCATTGGAGGATGCTTTGAAATGTCTTAAATGCTTTCAAATGTCTTATGTGGCATAGATTTAGCATCTTTGGAATATTGGACTTCAAGAATGCAATGAATTTAATGTAATTTAATCATGTAAAGGTTAATACAGCCTCGATCTCATTCTACCGTTGTTCTTCCTTGACTATATTTATAGAGAGCCAAGCTATGTAGAACTACTGGTGTAGGTGAAGAGATGAATAATAAGATGGCCCACATTAGAAGATAGCAATAAGGTCTGTTGTGTAGATTGAAAATCACTAATTCTTCTATATGGGGAGCCCATTTGAAGGATAAGGCAATAACCTTTAAATTTTTTTTTCAATAACTAATCCTCATAGTCCACATATCCAAGTTTGGCCCCACAGCTTAAAATCCTGTTCATTTTAACCTACTGCTTCTTTGTCTTATTGTTTTCATTTCATATTTTATGAGAACTAAAATTTCTATAAAAATTTTGTGTTTCTTTTATTAAGAGATTATAAATTGGAAAATGGCTTGTTTTATGAACTATATACTTAAATGACCCTTTAACACTTGAAAATGAACAAACTAGACGGAATTATTTACCGTCTAGTTTGTTCCTTCTAGTTTGAGACAATCTAGACAGAAATTTTCGTCTACATTGACAAACTAGATAGTTTTATTTTTTAATTTCATTTAGATTGACAGAAATGCTAAAGCCTTTACGCTAACGGCCCCCCGCCGCCGTCCCCCCAAACAAAAAAAAAAATTCTCCGTCGTACGTCTCTATCGTGATTTCCACCCCACCCTAAAAAAAAACAAAATGCCGCCCACCCTCGTCTTGCCTCCGCCGCGCAACTCCTCCCTCTCTCTGAGGTCTTGCCTCTCCCCGCTCCGGCGCTACCCTGCTCTCTCTGCCTCTCGCCTTTTTCCTTTGTTAGTTTGTTCTGGATGCTTCCGTTGTTTGCTGCGCTTCCTAACCCACTACCGTCCGCCGATGCCCCCGCCTGTCCCCCTTACCCCCGTCCCTGCCCTCCTCCCCCGCCCCCTACGCCCTCCGGTCCGCCCGACCCTGCCTGACCCTCCCCTTCTCCCCCGTCCGCCCCTCGCTGGTCCAGCCCGTGCAATCGACCTAGTGTCCTTCTACCCTGCCGCACGCCTACCCCGTCGTTCGCTGCGGCCTCTGCTTCCTCGTCGCCCACCGCCCGCACGGTCAGCGCTGTGCAGTCGCCTCTGTCGCCGTAAACGCCCTGCACCGCTCTCTCCTCGGCCTCTCTTCCTCTATCCCCGCGCCCTCGCGCCCTCCTGCCTCGCCCTTATTAAAAAATAAACCATAAAACCCTAGCTTCCCCCCTCGGGCCGTTCACGCACCCTCTTCCTAAGACCACCGCACGGCGCACCCATCATTTTTGGATCTTATCGTCTCTCATCTCCTTAAAAGTTTTTTTTTATTTGCAATGCTTGAAGAGTTTTTTTATTTGTAATAGTACTCTATTTTTTTATTTATCTTGTGTATTCTATGCTATTCATCTCATGTTATGGATGGACTTGGTATTGCTAGTGTATTTGTTGTAAATATTCAGATAATATACGTTTTCACTGAAATGGATATTAGCTTAGATGGTTTGGTGTGTATATTGGACTGG